CGCGCACGCCGATGAGTAGTCCTGAACACGTCACAGAATACTCAACTTCTAATTGTCGATTGATCACTAGCAACAATGAGGTATTGATGAGCATCGCTTACTAGCAATGCCAGCATGACAGCAATTCGCATCGCCGACCTTCTGGGATATTTTTGGAGTTGCACTCCACTTCCGTCCGCCAAAGAGTAGCAATGTCAACCTCCCTTGCACTTCACCAACCTGCCAACCTAACGCTCTCCCGTGTGGACACGTGGCTTGGAATCCACGTATCCTCCACGGAGTTGCCAACCCGAGCCTTGCTCAGTCAACAATTGCGCCCCGTGTCCCGCAAGCCTGCTGCGGCAACTGGACGCGCGACAACGCTCACCAGCCTCTATCCGATGAGACACGAAAAAAAAGATAAAACTCTACCGTATGATAACCAAGCTTGAACCCGTGACCTTGTAACATGTAATCCAAGACTCTACCGTATGAGCAACTACCGGAAATGGAATGATCGTGTGATATGCCAGACTGGGGAGAACATTAGAACACCCGAGACCAACACCCCAAGCAAACCCTGTGAAACCCACAACCAACATACAACACCGTGGACTACCCTTGGGTGGTGCGCATGCAGTGTCTGTAATAGTACCATGCGTCAAACCAAGGGGATGTGTGTCCAGTCGTGCGTCAATCCAACGCCCTGTCGGTGTCCATGCGGAAGGCTGTCGGGCTTTGAACCCGCAACCTTATACCACAATACGCATTTCCAACCGGTGCTCTAACCACTGAGCTACTTCTCCCATCTACTTCCCTCATCCCCTATCGGGCAGCAGCAGTTGTTATGACCAACAGTCTCCCACACCCTACACACAACCCACTCACTCTCACACTATGGCCAGCACTCCCACACACCACACACAACCCACTCACTCTCACACTCGCACCCGTGTTGGTAATGGACCCTACTTTTTTTTTTTTCTTCGGTTCATACACCCTACTAATACCAATCAGGTGTATCAAGCGGACTATCACAGTGGGTTGGCAGTAAGTGCGCCACAGACCGTCATGGGGGTCGAACCCACAATCTCCTGAATGCCACTTGTGTGCCTAACCAACTGCACTAGGCCGAAGCAACTGAGCTAGGCAGCTAGCCCTATATCTGACCGTGGTTACATCCAGGGAGAGATTTTTTTTTTTTTTTTTTTTTTTTTATGGACAAATGCTCCAATCTATTCGTGGGGAGCAGCACGTGCTGGGAACCGGGCCCAGCATCCCATGCAGAGTTACACAAGTCGTTTGAGATACCGGGGTCATTACCCGACTTCGGCTAAGAATCAATCTGGGAACTATTGAGGAAATTCAAGAAAATAAAGGAGAGGTTGAAAAACTACGAATAACCACTGACCTCTTTTCGAATGCTTAGAACCCCTAGAGTTCTTTTTTTTTTTTTTTTTTTTTTTTTTGGGACAAAAGCTCCAATCTATTCGTGGGGAGCATCACGTGCTGAGAACCGGGCTTAGTGTCCCTTTGAAGTACAACTGAGAATATGTAACACATTTGAAATTCTGGGGCCATTACCCGACTTCGGCTAGGAAAACAATCAGTCAATTACCTATGAGAAACAACTGCAGCTCTCAGAAAACTGCCTATGATCTACCCAACCACAATCCAAACCTGGGAACAAAAGATCCTAACTAAAACCTCCTATTGTTTACACCTCCCTTTCAACAAGCGAAAAAACGGTAAGTCCAAGCGTTTAGTCCTCGTACCAGAACTCATCTGATCTCATACCCCCCTATGCTAGGGTTACAGAGAAACACAAACTTCCCCAGTAACGACCAGCCTGGTTCAGACGACAAAGAGTGCCTTCCTCCCTCGACACTCTCGATTAGCCACACGCCCCTAAGTTACAGGGGAAGAAAACCGGCATCAGCTACATCGGATAAACTGGTTATGCCTTCCTCCCTCGACATAACTCCACAGACCTCTTGCTCCCCCAGGTTACAGAGCAAAAGTTCCAGCACCGGTCTGCGTCATCCCAACTTTGTCCTTCTGACCTACTTACTTAGACAGACGTCCCTTCCCATGTTGAACCCCCATTGCTTCCTCCCATCTTTCAGTTTTTACATTCTCCTTCCCCCCTGACATTCTATCGACAATCTCCCTGATCATAGGCAGAAACCCTTCAAAAAAGTTCTTAAGAACTTAGACTAGGAACGTACGAGAAAAGTTTGATTGGCCTAAAAACAAGAAGAAAGGAAAACAAAAACCACCAACAATCCAACTTTCTCCTCGCACCACAGAGGAAAGACCGTAGCCCAGATGTTCAGTCCTCCCACCTGAACTTGCTAGGTCTCATACCCCCCCTGCTAGGATAACAGGGCAACACCAACTACCCCAGTACCGACCGAGCTGATTCTAACGGTCAGGAAGTGTTTTCCTCCCTCGACAACTTCCTTAGCTAATAAGCCCCCAGGGTTATAGGGTCACAACCCTGGCTTCAGCTGGGTTGAGCAGGATGGTTATGCCTTCCACCCTCGGCATAGCTCCAATAGTCTCAAGCTCCACCCCTGGTTACAGAGCACCTACGCTCCAACATCGACCATTGTCAACCCACCCCGCCCTTCTAATTGAACCTACCCTCTGAACACTAATCCCTTCTCTGCCCACGTACCCACCACACTTGCCTAGCAACCTTAGGATCAATCTTCCCCTTCCTGCTATCCAGCGTCAACTAAAATTATACTAACAAGAATTTCAAAAAATTAAGAAAAATCAAGCACACAAAATCCTAAAGAATCGCATGAACATTTTAGCGCCCACTATTCCCACAGTGAGAGGGGAAGAGAGGGAGAAGAACAACCCTCTCTCCCCATGGAAACTTCAGCACCTATTGAAGTCTCAAATACATATGAAAGGGGTCATAAGAGCCAAAGGGATTACTCCCCTCCTCCAAAAAACGACCCCCTGTTTGTTTACTGCCTCCGCGGGAAGGCGCCCCCTCAGCTCCCTGCCCCAGTTCAAAACAGCCCCCAGGATACCCCTCCTGCTCCCTTAGTTACATACAATAACCCCTAGAGTATGCCCCTGCAGAGCAAAAGATCCCCCTATCTTCCTGCTCCACCCCCTCCAAGTCACGGTGGAACAACCCTCTCAACTCTCACCCTGCTGACATCAGCACCCCTTGTCCTTTCTCCCTAACCGCCATAGCTGATCCGACCTGAAAACCAGCGTGGCCCAAAGAAGGACAAACCCTCAACACCGTCCCTACCCTCTCAAAGGTCACACCACCCACCTTGTGTAACCCTCGCAGGGAGGGACTCCAACCCTAAAGGAGATATCCACTCCAACATCTCTGACCCTGATCTCACAACATCACAGTTGAGACTCCCTTGCAAGACTAACTACTTGAGTAAAAACTGATTTGCATCGATTCAAAAAATTCATCGAGATACAAATAAAATGGTAATAAGAAAAATCGCTCAGACAATAAATCCAGAATCAAAAGAACTTTGAATAATGAATTAAGCATTAAATTCAGGATTTTCAGAAAATTCAGGAAATCAATCGCGATGAAGATAATATTGAAAATACAATTTGATAAGATTTGACAATCCAATAGGGAAAAGAATAGGGAATCAATTCTGATGTCCGAACGGACTTACGACTCTGATTTCCAGAACCCAAGGTTCAAGAAATCGCTAAGATAGTAAATCAGGAATACTGAGTAGAAAAACAAATTGACAATCAATTAAGTCAGGAAATAGAAAAGAAAAAACGAATCGACAATCAATGGTGTACGAGGGACACAGATCATGAAATCAACAAGAAAAATTACAAACTATCGATTGAGATCAACTAAAAATCAGAATTATCATCCAAGTAATTAACCTCTAAGAAGTTCCCGCATCAAGAAAAAAACAACAACAAAATTAGGTCATGCCTCAATAATTACTGGAGATCTCGTCGCTGCGTGAAGTCGCCTTGAAACGCCTGAAGTCTCAGTTCGTGCAATCCATCATGTAGCGCTCCACTCTCGCGATCCCATGATCCAGCTGCCCTGCTGCTGTAGAGTCCAAACTCAGCCCTTGCCTCTTCCTGCGGGCGGAGCACGTTCGCCTTCCCATATAGCCCGTGCTAATATAGCCCCTTGGCAAGCCGCACTGACCTGAAGAGATTTGGTAGGACACAATCACATCCCTATCACTACCCTATGTGATTGCGTCGTGAGTAACCACGCCAAGCCTGTTGATGCCACCTCACAGAAAGTTCAGTCCCTGCCCAACAAACCGGAGGCCACTAAATCAGGAAGAGGGAGAGACGGAGTAGAAAAGCTAGTATAGGAAATCCCCCACCATCAAGCCCCCGCTCGCCCCACCCACCTTCTCCTCGACACAATCCCCATTCCACACCGCCACAACCGACGACCTGCCACCGCCCATCCCCCTCCTATCTTGCCTTCACGAAATCTCCAATGCACGCCATCGCACGCCATAGCCGTTTTACACCCATCGTGCTACTTCGCACTGCTCGTTCACGCTTCGCGCCGCGCTCGCCTCGCCACGTCGTGCTACGTCGTGCTCCTGTGAATCCTGTACCGGACCCGGACGGGGGGCAGCGCTCCCGGCCGCGCTGCCTAGACTCCCAAACAAAACTCTCTAAGACTGTCCAACACTGTGTTATTCCCTGTCGACCTCTCCAAGGCCTCCCCCCACCCCCACCCGGTTAGGTTACAAAGCAACACGACTCCCCCCATCCACGTCCAGGGAGATCAATAGCAGAAAAAGGAACGTATGAAAAAGAAAAGGGATAATTTGCAAAATACCCTCATAAGTTGAGATATATGCCAAAATGCCCCTGAAAGATGTGGATAGAGCAGAATGCCCTTGTGGGTAGAAATGTTTGTGTTGTGCCCCTGTCAGGCGGGTGCGCAACTTTGCAATCTGCACCTCCCTGTTTGGGCCTTGGCCTTTCCACGCGGAGTAACTGAAGTAGAAGTGATACTACAGTCGATATGCTTCGATTCAAGGTTGCGATGGCGTCTAACGGCAACTCCAATGTACCGGTTGTTCGATCATGTTACAATTGCAGTCAACCAGGGCATCTCAAGGTATCGTCCGTTATCAGATAGGAGGCTCAATGACGGTCAGGCTGTTGCGAGTACGGCGATAGTACCAGCACAGCCACTGGTGACGGTTCTATCTACGACTAACTCCAACGTGGGAATAGCGGCTCCATACTATTCTGGGTACTATAACAATGGAGGCAGTGGTAGCGGGCTAGGCAGACGTGTTAGCACGTTGGAGGAGATTGTCGGGAAAATCAATAGCAAGCATGAGGCCGACGAAGCTAGGGAGCGTGCGCGGAAAGAAGAAGAAGATCAGAAGAAGAAGGAACAAGATGAGGAGCAACGAAGGATGAGGGAGAAGAAAGATCGGGAGGAATTGCAGGGACAAATGCATAAAGAGATGACGGCGAAACTGGACGTGGTACGAGAGGCTATCGATGGCAAGAAAACAGGAGACGCGGAAGAATTGGAAAAATTGAAAGCACAAGTCGAGTTGTTATGTAGACAGCAATCGAATGTCGAAACGGGAGGAAAGAATGCTGGGGAAGAATCGGAGGTTGTCAGATTGAGAGCACAGGTCAAAGCACTCAAACAAGCACAGGAAGTAGCTAGCACGTCCGCCACGGTGACCAGAGCGGCGAGTGAAGCTGAGGAGATGGTACGTATGAGGAGGGAGCAAGTAGAAGCCAAGACTGCGATGGAAAAAAGACTGGTTGCAATGGAAGAGGTAATCTTTGCCCTACAGAAACAGTGCGAGGTTGCGGAGGCGAATGCGGAAGTCTGGAGGATTGAGGCTATGCGTTCTGGCAATAAGCAAGGCAGTGTGGTCGTGGGTCAAACCCCTGTAACAGACGCTAGGGTGAGACCACGTGTCACACCAGCTGCTGCTACTTCGAGCAAGACTGGCAGGGTCAACATATAGCTTACGGAGATAGTGGAAAGGCACCAGCGAGAAGTTGAGTTACTGAAAGAGATGAGGCTTAAGGAAGTTAATGCTCGCAGGGAGTCGGAGGAGGAAGTTGAGAAACTTCAAGAGGCGATGGCGAGATTGGAGATTGGGAAAAAGATGGGAGGGACGAATCTGAAGTCAAAGATGGACGACGCAGCGGTGATGTCCACCAGAAAGGACAAGGGGAAAGAAGGAGAAACTCTTATCATTTTGGTCAGTCAACGGGAAGCTTTCTTGAGAGATGTTAGGAAGCACCTGAGAAATTTGGAGAAAGATGAGATTCAAGGGATTTGTGAGAAGGAAGGGATTGTCAATACCAAGTTGGACGAAACCAAGGAAGCGATCGCACAGGCTCGTACTGACAGGGCGATGAAGGATGATGATCGTGGTAAAGGTAAGGAACAAGACGACTACGTGGTGGAACTAACGGATAACAGGGAAGGGGAATCGGGTAAGAGCGACGAGCATGACTCGGCGACTTCTTAGAGTCATGCCCGAACACGGCTTTCCTTTGGAAGGTGGTGAGACTTTGTAGTAGACTTCGTTCATTGTCATCGGATTTATTGAGATGTAGGAGTGTGAATGTGTTGTTGACCATCGCTGTTTGTGGCTTAATTCTCTTTGGGGAGATCTCGTGGGGTGTTAAATTAATTAGTTTCTTCCTACCTTTGCTGGTCAAGTGTTGAAGAGATAAGTTGGATGAGTGGCAAGGGCCTGTGGTTTATGTGTTGGTCTCATCTTGGCATCGACACATATATGTAGGAAGTACTCAACGTGAAGCCCATTGTCGCTGGAAGGAGTATGTTTATAGGGCAGGTAAGAGGACAGTGATCGAAGGGGAAAGAAGAAACGAGAAGTTGTATAGATGGTTGCATCGTTGTGGTACTCACTCGTATGTGGTCATTCCGTTGTGTCGTTGCTCGGAGGAGGATTTGTTGGAAACAAAACAGTTTTTTATTCGTCTGCTGTGTCCGGCCTTGAACGTTCGTGACAAACCGAAGCGGTCTAAAAAATGTCGGGCTGGGTTGAAGGAGAGGTGGAGGAAGAAACGAAACAACGTAAGGAGTGAAAGACACGTGGATTGTGAGCATGAAGGATCCGTCTGTGCTTTTCGATCAAGTCATGGTGATGAATCGGTTAGCCTTTTGAAATTATTGCAAAGATGTAAAGATCGAGGGATACTGAGTTTGGTCGTACATTGCTCGAGTGGTACGAGAATAGTTGACCGATGGAAGGTCTTGACGAGATTGTATGGAGGAAGTATGGTGAAATGCGAGTTTGGTAAGCAAGAGTTGAGGTATTCTCGAGGATGGTTAAGAGGTGGGGTGACGTTAATTATTAATCCTATTATACCCTTTCTTAGCCGTTCTTTGATCCTGAAGGCACCCCTTGCGAAGTTCATGAGCCAGCCAGCTACAAGGGTTGATCTGCAGTCTTGGAGCTTTGCAGGACTGATAGCGGCTTACAAGGCCGTACGAACGTTTAGCGAAAAACGATCTAGATTTAGATTAAGGTATTTGTTGTCCCGACATATTCTGTCGCGGTTCGGTGTACATGTGAGAAAGCGCATTGTGATTCGGGTGACTTATGATGAAGGGTTGTGCTAAGCGAGGATTCATCAACTATGTGCACAGGTAATTGGTGGGTTGGAGATTGAGCAAAGTTGGAAGGGTATGCTAAATCGGCGAATGAGGGTAGTGTGGTGTCGCAATCGAAGCGTTGGGGATATCTTGCACATTTTTCGGAAGTTTTTTAAGATGGATGGGAATGCATGTTCTTGTTGTAGCTATGATAAAATTCTTCCTCATATAGATGGGCATGTGGCGTTCAGGTTAAACGATATGTTCACGTTGGTCCATGCATGGATGATGAATTCTAAGAATCTGTTGAGACCATCGAAGAAGGGGACGGTTAAGTCACTGCGCTCTCAAATCGTGTCGTCGTTCGCCTCCCATCTATCGCTGCCTATGGTTGGGCAAGATGCCCTGTCGAACGATAGGATTAAGGAGTGTTTGAACAATTGTTCGAGTGAAGTGGATTATTGCTGTGAAGATGATATACGCCCTTTTCTGTCTGTGTTTCGAGGACTGGTATGCAGCTCAATCGACCATAATCCAGGGGATACGTTCGTATGTTGTCCAAGTGTTTATCAGGAAGGTATGACGAAACTCTTTGTTGGGAATTTGGCTTTTCGGGTGTGTCGAGAAGAACCCACCGTGGTATTGGAGGAATGTGGGCGGGAGTATGTTCGAAACGATTTGGTACAGGTGGGACGTTGGAAGAAAGAGGAGAGATTTGGGAAGGCATATTGTATCTCGAAGCACAAGGATGTTACGCGCTGGAGACCTATATATCCCTCATATCCTGAGCCTTCTGCAGCCGGAGGTAAAGTTGTGGCACGCTCGGTCAATGCTCTTTTGTGGAATCTGCCTGCACGTAGTAATTTTAATCTTCGAAGTGTGGATGGGTTGTTGAAGCGATTGAAGGAGGTCAACAGAGAACTGACGGATGATGATGTAATCATGGGAGCCTCCTTTGATATCAAGGAGGTGTTTTATAATCTCCCTCACCACTCCATTCGACTTGCACTGGAGTGGGTGGTGGATTTTTGGCGAGAGAAGGGTGTTGAGGTGGTTGATGTTCGGACGCAGGGAAAAGGAGATAAAATAACAAAAGGAAAATTGGAGATAGGGTGGAGGCGTATATCGTTGGGAAGGATAGTATCCTTTGTTGAGTTTGAGTTGGGGCATACGTATGTGAAGGCATCCGGTCGGCTGTTGAAACAAGAAATTGGAATCCCTATGGGGAAGTCATCTAGTCCCGCGTTACCCTGTCTGTTGTGTGCATATAACAAGTATGTTTTTTTGAATGAATTGGGGTCTGACCAGAAGTTGGTCCAGGGAATAAGACTAGTAGTTGATGTCTCCCTGTTTGTTGTCTGTAAGAAGGGGAATGAAGTTTCGAAGATGAGAGGACGTCAGTTGATTGAGAGGTTCCGTCGTTGTTATGATACAAACTTGGTGTTGGAAAAAACCAGCTCCGATTGTAGTTGGGACTTCCTCGGGTGCGTTTTGAAAGTGTTCGAAGGATGGACCGAGGTACTCTGCTTTCCGCTGATGAAGAACCAGAAGGATGAAGTGAACGGTAAAATCAAATTTCAGAGTATTCAGGATTACGTTTCATTTACTGATAGGAAGCAAAAGATTGCGGTGATCTCTACCTTCTTGCACAGAGCTAGGACGTATTTGTCAATTGAGGGTATGGCAGTCGCGTTTCTGTTCGCCCTGAAGAATGAGCTATGGAAGCGGGGTTACCCGGATGGATTTTTCGATGGTACTCTGGTTAATTTTTCGAGGAAGTTCGGTGGTTTGTGGAAGGAGTGGCTACCGGTGCTAACAGGATGGGGCCGGGTGTTGGGGTCAAACTAAGGGTTTTTCATCTTCTTCCCCTTCTTTGATTGGTTTGGCGTGAAGTCTCATGATTGAGGCTTGGTGCTGTGAGTATCTGTTTTCACCATCCGGTTGTCCATAGCTGGCATACTTTTGCAATAGGACCTAGGAGAAGTTGGCCAGTACTGGAGCATTTTGCAAAGTTTGGCGGTACCCAGTGTCGACCGGTAGAAGGGCTCTGCCGGCCTCCAACACATACCCTATGTCTCATGCCGCGTCTGTCACCCACGGGAGGGTTGGTTGGGGCCTGCACATGCCACGTCAGTACACATCCAAGACAAAGTGCCACTCAGACTGACTCGAAGCCATGTGATACAAGTCTCAAAGAGTAGGTAGGAAAAAAAACAGTATCAGAGTCTCCATTCAGTCAAGTACAATAGGGTGTTCTGCACTGCTCCCGATCTCAGGTGAAATCCCCCTGTCTATGTGCGTGGGGTCTGTTTGAGTGCCTACGGAACGCGTGGATAACCTTCGCCTAACTCTCCCCCTAACGAGGGCTCGTCGATACCTCGCACGCCTGTCCCACGGGATGGTGCTCGAACTCTTTGTGTCAGACGTCTCTTCCCTCGCCCATCTAGGCCATAACTCAAGCTCGGTCGAGACCATGCCTTGCTGGGAACCCGACCCGTTAAGACAACGCTCCCGAGGCCTGTTGGTGAAAGTACCCTTTCAAAGGCCTGGTTCAAAATTGTGTCCTTCCGGTGTCCTCGAGCCTCTAGATGACCGGCCGGCGCGTCCAGACCGCCGTAAACCCCTCGGAAATCTCGGATCACAAAGTACCCCTTCGAAAACCCGGTTCGGACTCGTGCCTCTTCGGTCCCAACAAAGCTCCGATAGGTCCGCCTGAGTCACTAGAGTGCCGTAGGAATGTCAAAGGGCTCAAAAGTCAAAGTACCCCTTCGAAGGCCCGGTTCGGACTCATGCCTCTTCGGTCCCAACAAAGCTCGGATAGGCCCGCCTGAGTCACTAGAGTGCAGTAGGAATGTCAAAGGGCTCAAAAGTCAAAGTACCCCTTCGAAGGTCCACTTCACGGACATGCCTCTTCGGTCCCAACAAAGCTCGGATAGGCCCGCCTGAGTCACTAGAGTGCAGTAGGAATGTCAAAGGGCTCAAAAGTCAAAGTACCCCTTCGAAGGTCCACTTCACGGACGCACCCCTTCGCGAACGTACGTCTTAGAAAGCCCTCTTCACGATCGCACCCCTTCGCGAACGTACCTCTTAGAAAGCCCTCTTCACAATCGCACCCCTTCGCGAACGTACCTCTTAGAAAGCCCCCTTCACGACGGTACCTCTTTGCCGTTGTACTTCTTAGGAAACCCACTTCACGGTCGCGCCCGCTTGGCGAAGTGTCCGTTCAATAAATGTATCCGCTAGGTGGAAGGTCCACTCAGTAGTGTGGATGCTTGACAAAATACCCGACCGGTAAAAGTTCGCCCGGTAGATGTACCCGCTCGGTAAAGGTGACCGTCCGGTATAAAGGCCTCTCGTCAAAACGTCCGTGCGGTGAGAGTAAGCACTCGGTTGAATGGTCGCTCGGTAAAACGTCCTCTCAGTAAAAAGCCCCCTTCAGAAGGGTGCCCTTCTGGTAGAGTGTCCCTACGATAGAATGTCCCTCCGATAGGATGTCCGCCCGGAGGAGTGCACGCTCGGTACAGGTGCCCGTTCGATAAGGAGCCCCCTCGATAACTTGCTTAGGTGGCGCCCAAGATCCGCTCAAACTGATGGTCTGTCACACGCTCGAAAAGCCCCTTCGGCTCGCAAGAAGTAAAGCCCACTCGGTGGTCCCGACGGCCCAAAGGCCCCGTTCGATTCAATGATCTAACCATGCGAAAAGAGCCTCCTCGTCCGATGCCCAGTTGCGCCCGATATCCCTCGTTCACAGTACTCAGTCTGCGCCCTGTCCTGGAGCACCCAGGCCACACCCGACCGCTCGTATCCCTACTGCACCGGCTGGCTCCGTTCACAATATCCTGACCGAGCCCTGTTCGGTTGCGCCAGGACTTCTCCTGACTGCTTGTGTCCCAACTGCGTCCAAAGGTGCGTTCTTGCTTGGCGCCCGTTCCGTATCCGAAAGGTGCGTTCTTGGAGCTCAGATCGAGCTACCGTTGTGCTCGGGCGCGCCTGTCGAAACGCAGACCCTCCCCTTCTTCGTTGCTCGCTGGTGTATGCAGTATGGCCCTCTAGCACGGGCGTGCACCCCCGACGGCCCGCGGTCCCTCCTCTGAGTTCGCTGTCGAGTGGGGGCTGGCAACATCGAGCGGCCCCTCCCCATGGTTCCGCGCACGGTAGTGCACGACAATTCCTCGAAGGTGCGCGAACGCAAGCGCAGTGGTTCACGGCTGCTCTCCGCTGTCCCCCCCCCCCGGTTCGCGGGTAGTGGCGCTCAGGCCCCCAGTTGAGTTCGCAAAGCCACGCAACTCAGCCCTCTCAGTGCGCGGATGAGCGCGGATACGCGTGGTTCTCCCTCCCCGCGCGTGACTGCGCGCTCACGTGCGCAGTTCCTCTGCGGCC